AGAAACCGTATACAAAAACCATATCAGCATATTCACTATTAGAATACGTACGCGGCATATTGCAAAAGACAAAATTCATCTACTGTTAAAGGCTTTCAAAGAGCGACTGACAAATTCATAACAGAAAGTGGAAAATGTAATCAAATATGTCGGTGCTAGATATGGCAAGAAATGTAAACATTTTTTTTCGATTTCTCTGAAACGGAGCAAAAACGAGCATATGTCTATAGGACTTTTTTTCTTAGTTTTTTACTCCTCTACACGCTCCCGAAGTTTTGCCATTTAATTTGGAAACACCCTATATATAAAATTGATTTTTATTTATACCTGTGATTTGAATGTAATGTCAGAGTTTGATTATCAATAGATATAACAACTAGAGGAAAAAATTGTAATTTTGCGGCAATATATAGGGTGTCCCATTTTAAATAATGCATTAAGATTCCTCAAAAACTATCGTAGATACTCCTATTTTCATTTTTGCACTAAAAATTCATTTTTACGAAAAAATGAAAATAAGAGGTACAACCTTCAATGGCCTTAATCCTGACAAATGTTATCCAGGGCATGATTCTGAACATTCAAGAGATTTTAGCTGTCGGTCAGACAACTTGCGTAATGCTAATGCCGGCTGTAACTTTCGAGCCTTATAACTCGAAAAATATTTAATAAAAAATATTTTATTATAGTGTTTTGAAAAGCTCTCGAGGTAAACTACAAGAAAATGTAATAGAAAATAGGGGATTCCATTTTAAAAAATCGACGTGATCTTGACCTAGCCTTGTCGACGCCACCCAAGGTCAAATCGATGGTACCTTCTTATGTCCTCTTCCGAACCATACAACTTTCGTTTGAAACATTTTTCCGTATTTACCATAGTTTCGAGAAATCTTAATGCATTATTTAAAATGGGACACCCTGTATAAGATACTATAGCATTACAAGTACGTATACTTATTTATGCAGCATTTATATAATAAAAAATCATGAATTTAATAATATATTATCCAAATATTTATGTTAATAATCGCAAATTTACATCAATTGTCGACAATGTCGTTTCTCTCATCAATCATCTCCGGACCCCCTATTGATATCACGAGAATTTATCCAAGGTCGGCCATCTTTAATAACATCTCGTGTATATAGTATTATGAGTATACAAATACATAAACATACAAAATAATGGATTTCTTTATAGAACATATTCACAAAGTGTTTGAAAATGATCATGGATACTGGCTTAATAAAAAGAATACAGAAAAAGGGAATGCTCCATTTTTTTCTGTAAAAAATATCAAATGGATTACAGATAAAAACAGATACGAAGAAAGAAAATGTACCATATGTTTAAATGAAAAATCTACATAATCTTCGTATCACGTGGACATTTACGTTGCTGTAAAAATTACGTACAGAAATTAAAATATGAGGGATGTTCTATTTGTAGCAACAATTATCACCAGTATATATCAACGGTATACAATACCATAAAGTATGACTTATATTCTTACCATACTTGTACAATATTACTGTAGATTTAAAGTTTTATTTATACAAATCTTTAAATAAATTTCTATTTTTAACATAATCTTTTTGTTGCAGATAAAGGGTTTCAATTTATGAATACCCTTATCTACGTTTTGTGGTTTTGAGAGTAAATTTATTGAGAGCTGCTTTTCAAAAAGCTAAATGACACAATTAAAAATCAGACACAAAAGTGCAATGTAAAGTTGTTCGTTATTTAAACTGTCAAATATTTTATCTCTTCTAAATAGTTAATAGCTATGTATTTGACACACAAGTCACCAAAGCTCCACAGAATTGGTACCTGGGACCAATAAGAGACCATGTAACCAGTTGCTACTTTCTTTTCATTCTCTAATGTAGAACTGTCATGATTGATAAAAGTTATTATACATTAAGCTTACTCAACACTTATCGCGACAGCAAATCAGAAGCATCAGTGACTACATTTAGCAGTAAAAACTGATCAGAATATCTTAAGACATTAAGAATGATGTCCTATGATAGTCGGAATTTCAGAAAACGGAATCTTGGAAGAATAAACCTGGATTCTAATGTAGACATCGGCGTTTTGACATCGAGCGTAGTTGGTGAAAAATGGATGACGGGAGTAAATTTCCCCAATTCACTAATCAGTGCTCACAATCAGAGTCTGCATGAGGATTCGGGCTAATATAATCAGGGTGCTTTCCAGCAAGGACAGTCAAATACTGTGTAACATAGTGAATTGTTTCATCCTTGTTTAACGTAGGCAAGCCACAAGGATGTAATGATTCACTGTGTTACACAGTGTCTGCCTTGCTGGAAAGCACCCTCAATCAGATTAACATGTTACTTATATGAACATGCTAAACTTAAATGACTATGATTAGTCGTATTACTTTCCTGAGATTCCGTTTTCTGAAATTTCGACTGTTTATAGAGAAGCACACTAAACGGCTTCCTGAATGGTTCATCGTATCCTTGAGCATTAATTTAAGAATGTCCTAATTTACATCGATCGTTTAATATTCAATTAGCAATTTTCCATTAAATTTAATGCAAAGTCTACAATAGAAGTAGCAGTCGTAGGGATGCTGGAGTCACCAAATTATCACATTACAGTCGTATAAAAATCTTCGAATTGACCGAACGGATTTTTTATTCCATTCAATTGACTGAAAGGATTTTTTATTTGATTTTTATATATCGTTGACAATATATTATTAAAGCCGGTTTTGTAAAAGTTCGCATGACTTAAAATTTAAGTGATTAAAAATAAAAAATTGATAATACTAATATTAATCCGTTTTATTTCGATTGGCTGAATTCTAATCCTTAACTCGCAATTTTTAGGGAACATTTATATTGGCCATGACCGTATTCCGTATGTCATAATCTGTAAGAATTGACCAATCACAGTTGAATGAGAGGGGAATACTCAAATGTGATTATTTAATTCTTACAGATTACGGTTACGACCAGTATAAACGCTCTCTAATAGTAGAGTGGGTATAAAGAAAGTGAAGCCAATCCTGGTTCTCCTTCCTGATTGGTTCCGCCATTTTACGATTAACTGTTAATTAGAGGAAGACGACGTTAGAAAAAGAAAAGGTTAGGATGAGGAATTATTTGTCGTAAAATGGCGACTTCCGGTTAATTGACTTCACTCTCTTTATACCCACTCTAACTAATAGCGTTTTCGACCCGGCCGGGTTTGCACCAACCTGGATTGGATTAATGGCGTTTTGTGCTCTCCTATTGGTAGAGCGTGTAATGTCAACCAATAGGAAAGATTAATCCAACTCAGGTTGATGCAACCCGATCGGGCTGAAAACGCTATAATTATGCTTTAATTGACGGTTAGTCTGTTGGAATTGGCCAATCACATCTCGTTAAGCGAAATGACAAATGCAATCAATTCCAATAGACAAGAGGTTTATTCGCATCGCGCATGCTCCAACATGTTCCAATACGCTCTTACCATAGCTCTACTCACTCCAACGCGCTTGATAAAGTGAGTAAGAGCTATAGTAGGAGCATGTTGGAGCTTGCGACGCTAACAAATCTTAATTGGGCGCATTCAGCGGACTCAACAGTTAAGTGAGCGCTCGCTGTTATTGGTGTATTCTTTTAGATCATCCAATCAGAATTATAGATCTAGAAGAATACATCAATAGCAGCGAACGCTCACTCAACTGTTGAGTCCGCTGAATG